CCCTTCCATGCCCTCTCTTGCTCTGTTCTCCGCTGTACTCCTTGTGCTGACCATGTTAACTGAAAAGTTCTTCTTTTTTATCTTTGGGCCCATTGATGTTGTTTTGCGTAGCGACGAATTATACTTTGCTTCGGTAGGTCTTTTTTCAGCTACCGGTACCCTGCTCCGCCTCATTATTTCTATTTACAATTGCTTTTATTTACAATTTTACTATATACACAATCCTATTCTAAGAATAAAATCTTTCGGGAAGGAAAAAAATATATATATATATACAACGTGGTGAAAACCTTGTTTCAGTTCTCTTTATTAACTTTTCGAGAAACTTTCCTTATTTGTGGTCTCAACCGTACCTGGTTCCAATTAGTCTTGTTCTATCTTAATTCTGTCTTAAAACACTTCTTGTAATTTTACTTCAATTTTTTACACTGTCCCAAGACTTCCAATTGCCGTCCCTACTCTTCTTTGTACCGTCCCAGGCTTCTTTCTCCTGTCCCAAGACTGTTCGGTACCGTCCCAGTACTTTCCGGCCGTGTCCCAAGACTCTTGTCCAAGACTACTGTCCCAAGGCTAGTGTCCCAAGACTAGTGTCCCAAGACTAGTGTCCCAAGACTACTGTCCCAAGACCCTGTCCCTAGACCCTTGTCCCAAGACCCTGTCCCAAGACCTTGTCCCAAGACCCCGTCCCAAGACCTTGTCCCAAGACCTTGTCCCAAGACCCTGTCCCATGACCCTGTCCCAAGACCCTGTCCCAAGACCTTGTCCCAAGACCTTGTCCCAAGACCCTGTCCCAAGACCCTGTCCCAAGACCCTTGTCCCAAGACCTTGTCCCAAGACCCTGTCCCAAGACCCTGTCCCAAGACCCTTGTCCCAAGACCTTGTCCCAAGACCTTGTCCCAAGACCCTGTCCCAAGACCCTGTCCCAAGACCACTGTCCCAAGACCACTGTCCCAAGACTGTACTGTCCCAAGACTGCTCTGTCCTAAGACTTCTTCGGCACTGTCCCAAGACTGTTGACAAGTGTCTGGGTGGTGGGACTTTTTCCCTCTTCGTTATGGGGACTTCTTGATTCGCCGTACCTTGTACCACCACTCAAGCACTAGTAAAATTTTCCCAAAATCCTCTCTTAAAAGCCAAATGCTGACCCCCCTTTTTCTTATTTCTCTTTTTGGCTACCTCTATTTCAATGTTCCAAGTAACTTGAGACTAAAACCTGTGCGCAGGTATCTTGTGATCACCTGTTCGTACAAAATTTTAACACAAATCCTCACCAAAATGCAACAAAAATCTAAGCAAGAAAAAGTAATAAAAACAGAAAGATGAGCCCACCTAAAATTCAAAGGTGACAAATGTCTACCTTCTAACGAAAAAATGTCTGGTACCTAATTGCCACGCGTTTCCTTCCCCCCTTCTAGCGATCTTGTGGGGTATCACAAAAAAAACTGTCTATGTCCGTTCCCCCCTACCGATCCGACCAGGGTACCTACCTTAACCTAATTCCAATTTTGGATATCCGCTTCCTATGACCAACGCGTGTAAATGACTAATGTAACTAAATCAACGATGTCGACTAATTAGTTACTCTAATTTCCCCCCTTTTTACAATTTACTACCGCCAACCTCTAACTTAACCAGCCCCCCTTCTAACCTCCCCCCTTTTTAGCCCCCCTTCTTAAGCCTAAAATCACCTTAAGCGCCGGGTGCTAAACCTCTCAAGAGAAAACCGTAGACCTGTCTCCAGGCCTGCTCAAGTAAAAACTTTTCTCAAAACCGGGGGATATCGCTTATCCAATTTTACACTTATTTCCTATAATGTATTGTGAATTGTAACGATACCCGTTCTGCCCAACTTGAGAACTCGAGAATTGCCAAATCCTTCTTGGCTGCTTTCCCACTCGACTGGTCACCTGTTCCAGTCCAGTCTCCTATTGGTTCAGCTCAAGTGTCCCTGAACCACTTTCCCACTCGGCTGGTCACCTCTTCCAGTCAAGTCTCCTATTGGTTCAGCTCAAGTGTCCCTGAACCACTTTCCCACTCGGATGGTCACCTCTTCCAGTCAAGTCTCCTATTGGTTCAGCTCAAGTGTCCCTGAACCACTTTCCCACTCGGCTGGTCACCTCTTCCAGTCAAGTCTCCTATTGGTCCAGCTAAGTTCCAAGCTATCTGAAAACCCTTGACAACGCCCCACTTCGGGCACTTTATTCAGTTTACTGGTTTAAATTGCTAGGTTGATTGAAACGATCGAACTTGTAAAACAGTATGGGTATACTATTTAATTAATATAAAGGTTTGATCCAACTAATCTGGTGTCAAAGTCACTGTCTTTTTTCGTTTTATGGTTTTTGTTCCTTTTTCTATTCTTTTTTGGTTTTTGTTTTGCTTTTTGTCTTTTTGCTCGTGTTTTTGTCCCCCTAGTTGCCCCCCTTTACTCGGTTAGCTAAGCCTCGTTCGGAGAGCGTACCAGGAAATTTTCTCGAGTTTTCTTAAAAAGCTATCACGGTACAACCGGAAGGTTTGCACGTTCCTGTCGAACCGTACCGCCGGTACTCTAGAATGGGCATTCAGCCCGAAGCTGTCTCAAGTGGGTTCGACTCCGTAGTCTTGATGTCGTAAACACCCAGGAGCGCCATAAAAACACTATGTAACATTCGTCTACTGCAGTCACACATGAGGCTTAAGAAAAATAGGCCCTATAACCACTGGCTCAAGGGTCAGGGACACCATCTCTTGTGTTTTTCTACCTCAAGAACGGTCGGAGCCAGTTCGGTTCGCTTGTGACATGAGACTACGACCCGTTACAGCTTAAAGGCTACTACTAAAATATCCCCCCACTCTAGAATTAGAAACGTCCCCATACTTAGGTCTCTAGATACCCAAAATACATGAACGCCGTTAAAAACCGGGTTGGAACAATCCGTTAAGTTACTTTTTATTAGACAGTGGAACTTTGATCCATTTCAGATGGATCAACCTAAAACTCGCCTTACCTCAACATAACAATTATAAAACACACTCTAGAAATTTAAATTAAGTACTCACATTGTAGCACGCTCAAGAACCAGGAAGTAAATAAGTCGGTAAGCAACTCAAGAATTAATAAAGTAACTAAAATGAGTTTAATGTTAGTCAGTTTTAATAATAAGAACAAGTTTTTTCTCTAGACTGTAAGTTCTCGTGAACCATTGGGACACTCTAGCTGTCCACCTTTCCACCGAAGGTTCACTCTGGTCCAGTTAATAATAGTACTCCAATCACAACAATCCAGTTCGTGGGAATGCTCTCGTCTCTGTCACAGATGAGACAGCTCTACTCTCGATTATGATAGTGATGGAAATTGCGAATAGCAATTTCCTACTGCTTTTTCTTACAACTTTCCCGCGTGTGTGACTCAATCGTTCTGAACTTGTTCTGATTTCTTTTTTCTGATTTTCAGTTATCGCGAGAAAATCGTGCATGACAGGTTCCATTCGAAATTTTGAAAAATTAAATTTCACTCCAAAATCAAGTGTTTTTTGCTTCTCTCAAGGTCAAACTTCCAAATATGACCGACTGGCACAGTTCAATTAGGTTTCGAAACGAGTGCGCAGCTATTTCTGCTCCTCGTTTGGTACCGCATCCTACCTGTACGTTTCCGAAAAAAGTTTGTCGCTCGGAGAGGGCCTTGCTTCCAGCGCATTTAGACGCGATACGTCTCAGCGTGTTGCCTATGGCAATCGGTCTCAACCCTCCGTCTATCTTTATGAGGGCGATAAGCTTTGCGCCAAAAAAGAAAGGTCTTAGTGGTTCGGGTATTTTGCCATCTCCAATGAGGTTTATCAGCATAGTTAGCGATTTCAGAAAATTAAGTCCTGCACTGCCATTCGACTTACTAACAAGATCTTTAAAAATTTGAGGAACTATTTTATCAGGATCTGCTGCTGATCCGTTTGGAAAGGACATTATCGCTTTGTATAGGTCGAAATCGGTTACGAAAAAACTATCCAAATTTTCTGGATTTGGAGCTGCAAATTTGGCTCGCTGCGGGTGCTTAGACAACAATTTTTGATAGTTATCAGTTGAAAAAGGAGCTATTTTGTCATCCGAAGCAGCAAGCCTTATTCCTCCCTTTACATTTCCTCATCGAGCTTACTACTTATTAACTTTATTCTCTGCTCGAGGTCACTCAGAGGCGGGCTTGAAACTTGGAGATGGGGTTTGGGAAGTGACACGTCATTTGCTCGAATTTTTTTATTTATCAAAGAACTCATGCTTGTGGTCTGTTTGCGTTCACTTCTTTTCGGTTGCTCCAAAAAAATTAAGAACGACGTTAAAAAATTAGCCATTTTGTAACATCTTCTATATTGTAGACAATGTCATTTATTTTGTCCGACAGACTTTCCGCCAAGGGAACACGCGAGTCTTTTGGTACTCTCTTGAGTACTCGGACATTTGAGATGGCTGTATTAACATAATTGTCTAGCACTAAATCATTACCTTTTGTTGCTTTATTAACAGATTTTACATCAACGCATAAAGGACACTGAAGCCATTGGGTTTTCTTAGAGTCGCTAAGAGAAATATTTACACAACTGATATGATGCCAACTAGAACAACAATCACATCTAATCCAATTTATCAGTCCTGAAGGTTTTAAGCAATCTTTGCTTGTATACTCTTTGTTGTTTTTCCTCATCTTGACGCAGCATAAAGGTTAAAAAAAAGGATTTTGACTGGACTTTAGGGGACTGAACTAACCCATGATAACCGGTTCGTGGGAATTTTACAAATCAGCAAATAAAAATAAAATACAACTAAATTAATTTAAATTTAAAAATCGAATTATGAAAATCAAAAACAAGGAACAATCTCACCCGAGCTCAGTAGGTCCAGCGGCGCACCACCAGACTCCTCAAGCCAGTTCTAGTTTCCCACCTCCCCACAGAAAGCCACTTGACAGACCTGTCTCTAAAATCCCTCTGAGGGCGCTCCACATACAGGCACAAACATCAAACATAACAAACCTATTTAATAAGTTTATCACAACAATTAGGCTAACTGAATTGTTTGTACCTTTTCTTCAAGGTACAAACAATTCAAAATAATCAAACAGATACCTGCAGCTTTAGCTAGGCCTCTAGTTTTTCCATGGCTGCAGTTTCATTTTTTCTCAACGTTGGGCGACCCGAATTTTTTGGCCTTGAATACAGCTCCGGCATTGTTTCTCAATGCTTTCTAGGGCTGTTCATAAGCCTAATCCGAGACAAAAGGCTGAAAAATTTTGTAGTCTTGATTTATCGACTTTTTTCAAGAGATTTTTTAAAGCTTATATTGTCAAAAAAGTTGAGTTTTTTTCTGCTCAACGTCTTATAATGCAATGTTTTAATTGCATCGCAAGCGTTGCGAAGCCTCTCTTCGCATCTGCGTTCCTTGAAACTTTTGACTTTCTGATTACCATATATCATTACTATTTTCTGAAATTCTGTGTGTTACTTCTTTAATTCAATAACTCAGATTATTCTCTAGAGAAAAATGCCGTGGACCCAGGAAGTCAATTTTGCCGCGAGGACTATTATGCTAAGAAACCCAGGCGATGTCGTAAACGCTTATCGCAGACTTCAGATGTAAGACATAATGTTTATTTTTTTCAGTATCATTTCATCGAATTCAGACCACTCAAACGGTGATTAGAATGAAAAACGATGTAGTTCTAATGTGGAAACAATAATTTCGCATGAATTCATTCAATTTTTCTTCAAGGTAAAAATAGGTAAACTTGAAGTGATATTCGGACATTGACTAGGGTATATCATTTTCCTATGATTAAGGGATGCGGCATGTAAAAACGCCTTCTGTACATTGAAAAATGATTTCTGTGTCTTAATTGACTTTTCTCTATACAGTTGTCGGATTCCAACAATTCTTTTTTTACTCTTGCGACATGCTCGGCGATTTTATCGTTTTAAATGTCAACTTGAGTTTTTATCTGCTACTTTTCGTAAAATAATTGTGGAATTCTTTTAGTTTTGCGCAGTTTCAATGTAGCATGAAGCAAAACAACTTCTTTGGTTTTTCTTAGTTAATTTAAAAAAAAATTCAATTTATTTTAATATTTCAAAGTCCAGATAGTATTGAAACTGAAGAAATTTTTGCTAAAAAGTAAATTTCAAACGTTTTCGCAACTATGTGCATCGTCAGGATTTTTACAATAAACTACTCTAAATGACGATAAAACATCAATTTACAAATGTTATTTACAATAAATCACATACAATTTGGTTCTAAACCATCATGATAAAAAATTGGCCAATCACAGTTGACCTCTAAATTACTATTAAGATTAAAATACTTTTAACCTCTAAAATTAATTAAACATTTTAAAATTAATTTGTCTGGAAGTTTCTGAGTCATAATTTCGATTTAGACATGTACTTTTTGAATAAAAAACCAAAAATATTTTGGGACTAAATTTTCAGTGTTAACTCCCTGCTCCTAAACTCATCGCGCGTGTTCAAGCCCGGTTTCTCTTTCCTGATATGTATTGCCTCTAGTGTTAGCAATTTTGTTTGGTTGTTTGACCTATCTATAATTTCCCAACTAAGATCTGCGCTATTTCCCTCAAGTTGGCATTGCTGAAGGTGGAGTCCTACCGGTGAGTCTGCTTTCTTATGTTCCTCAATTCTAGTGGTCAAATGTCGAACAGTTTGTCCGACATAGGTGGAAGTGCATCCACTACATGACAGTTTATAAACCACTCTTGACTTGAGGTCATTAGAAAATGCTGACTTCAGTGATGGTAAACATGATTGTAGTTTTCTTGTGGTGAAAACCACTTGAACGTTAGTTAATTTTCGTAACCTGTTAGCAAAATATTGGCTCTGGTTACCTCTATATTGCACCATCAGCATTGGGGGCTTCCCATCCTTTGGTAATTGAACTGACAAACCTCTGTCTCTATCCAGGGGCTTGCCCTTACCCTCGATGATCTTGCACAAGGCGTCTGAAGCCACCTTTGCGGACCAATTTTCAGGGTACTGATTTGTCAGCCATTGCGCCCTATTAGTTTCCATAGCCTTATCAAATTGCTCCCAGCTAGATGTACTCCTAAAAACCCTGTGTACAGTGCCTTGGATAACACTACGCTTATACTGAGTTGGGGCGCAGCTTCTATAGTTCAGTATAGTCCCTGTATCTGTTGGTTTTTGATACCAACTGCAAGTTACACGCCTACCCTGCGATACATTTATGTTCAAATCCAGGAACAGCAAATTCCCCTCCGAATTAGTTTTCTCTAGAGTGAACTGCAAATTTGGATGAAGAGAATTGGCGGCATCGAGAAGACAGCTCGGCTCCCCTCTGACTGTTCTAACAATGTCATCCACATACCTGAGGAACAATTTCACCTGGGGAGTATCCTTCTCCTTGTTCTTAGCTCGGCAGCAGCTTTCACAGTACCAGACTATCTCGGTTATTGATGCGTATACGTCATCGGATATTTTTCCGCATTTTAGATGATACCAGTTTCGGCAACTCTCGCATTCAACCCCCTTTGATCTATATGTGACTTTCCTGCTGCAACATGGGCACAAGCCGTTTTTGTCATTAATTTGCTGTACCCCCGTTCCCACCGGTATTTGTTGTCGTAGAGCAAGTTCGTATTCTTTCAGCCATAAGTTTGCCAGAATTACAGCGAGGGACGCGCCCATTGCTAAACCATCAACTTGTACATACCATGAATCATTACACTTGAAATATACTTTGCTGACCGCCATATTCAAAAGCCTTTTCATGGTTGCTCTTTGAATTTCAGGAGGAGACTCCTGGCTGTACAGCTTCTGTAAAGCAATTTCAATTGCCTCCTTCAGGGGAACGTTGGTGTACAAACTTTTCACATCAAGAGATATTATGGTTTCATCCGGATCTAGAGCAATGTTTTCTATTTTTTCTCGAGCCTCTTTAGTATTGGTTTCTATATTTGCTCCATCGATGTTGTCAAAAAACTTTGCAAGCATTTTGTTAAGATTCTCATACGAGCTGCCGGGAAGTGATAGTACAGGTCGTAGGGGTGTCTCATCCTTGTGTACCTTAGCTAAACCGTACAAACGGGCGGGTTGCCCCCCTGTTGATCTCATCTTAGAATATAACTGATCACTTATCTCGTCTCTTTTGTTCATGGCTAGTAATTCTTTATTAAATTCCTTCTCAATTTTCAGTATCACCTCATCAGTGGTTGCATCTTTTTTCAAAAACTGAGCAGATTGCAACAAGGATTCCAGCTTTGATTCATATGTTTGTTTCCTCATTATGCAAAAACCAACCCCCTTATCAAAAGGCACAGCCAGCAACCCATTATCTTTGAGATATTTCCTCGTTTTTTCAACGGCTTTGTCTCTTGGGGTTTGCCGTACATTTTTTGCATATGCCTTTGCCGCGGCTTCTATTTCACATAACGTTTCAACAGATGTTTTTTGATTTTTCAATTGTGAGAGGAAAATGTCGATATTCGCCAAAAAATTTGTTTCGTTAAATTTGTCTCTAATTGGATGCTTGGGGCCCATTGATAGCACTTCATATACCCATTCAGGTAGTTCAATATTATCAAGTACCTTAACTGATCGCTCATTTCTCCCCCCAAGAGGTTTATCTTGTCTCTCGGACAGTTTTTCTAACTTTTTTCTATGGTTTTCTGATGTTGTCTTTAAGCTTGCCTCAACTTGACGCCTCACGAATCGGAAAATGGATGCCCACCACTGTTTGTCAATTTCTTTTTGCACCAGTGATCTTGCTTTCCTTAGCATCTCCTCGTACCTTTTCCTATCCTCGTTTGCCCTAGAAGTTTCAGTCCTTAGTAGTTTCAATTGAAAATTATGCACAGCTTGGTCCGAAAAAACCCCGTTCTCGGGGACCCTAAACTTCAAAAAGTCCGGTATTAGATCGTTTTTCAGACATTTTCTCAGAAACTTCAGTCTATGTACAGATACTTGAACTTTTTTAAAGAATTTTAAATAGTCTAACACAATTTTCCAAGTTAGTTTTCTTTTTAAAATTTGTCTGAGCCAAACAGCAGGCAAAAGTACTGTGGTCATTGTTTTGCAGGCCACGAGTAATGAAACTCACAAGGCACAAAGCAAAACAAATCACACTCTTCTCACCCCTGTCTTTGAAGCGCAGACACTTCCTCTGCCTTCAGCTTCTGCTCACGTCTTGCTTTCGCCTTCCTCCTTGTCTGTGATGGTCTCTGTTGCTTGCCCCTGATATTGCCAATCAGCTCTGACAGCCTTTCTTTGTGTGCCACTACCAATCGCAGAGATTTCAGCTCCAAATCAGCACTCTGGTGCAGCTTCAAATTTTCCTTGAGCTGCTCCGCATCGTTTTGCTTGCTCTTGGAGATTAGCTGTTTTGTCGCTGGAATAATGAGCACTCCTGTGCCGAGAAGTTGACTAAACAAGTCGGGCGTTCCTTCCCTTCTGCAATAGACGATCGCCAATATCTGCTTTTCTTCGACTTTAAATAGTTTGTCAGCTCCTCGACACCGGCTGGGCGATAGTTGTTTGTTCTGTGGCTGCTAATGGTGTTGTTCACCACGTCGTGCCACACAACCACTTTTTTCCTTCAGTGGACTGTCTTCCAGTAGTCGTCGGAGGTTCTTTCCTTGGTTCAGCAAGTTGTTATTAAGGGATAGGCCAGGAATTGCTGTAACAAGGCTCTCGTATTGCTTTTTCTCACCTGTGTTAAGGGTGTTGATGCTGTGGAACAGGGAGCTAGCTGCTACAATATGAAACATTTCGGTAACTCAAATAAAAATCTGCCATATTTTACGTATCGATAAAAAAAAACACTATAAAAATTCTCTATACATTGATGAAAATCATTAAAAAATTTTATACTGGCCCTTTAGTGGGAAAACAGTTGGAATTTCAAGCTCTTCGCTTTTTGGTTTATCATGAATTTACAAGTAAAATTGAAGAAATTTTTGCTAAAAAGTAAATTTCAAACGTTTTCGCAACTATGTGCATTGTCAGGATTTTTACAATAAACTAATCTAAATGACGATGAAACATCAATTTACAAAAGTTATTTACACTAATTCACATAAATTTCGATTCTAAACCATCATGTTAAAAATTAGCCAATCACAGTGGACTTTTAAAATTATTTTTTAGATTAAAATTTTTTTTAACCTCTAAAATTAATTAAACTATTTTTAATTAATTTGTCTGGAAGTTTCTGAGTCATTATTTCGATATAGAGATGTGCGTTTTAAATAAAAAACCAAAAATATTTTGGGACTAATTTCAGTGTTAACTCCCTGCTCCTACACACATCGCGCGTGTTCAAGCCCGTTTTTTTTCTTGATATGTACTGCCTCTAGTGTTAACAGTTTTGTTTGGTTGTTTGACCTATCTATAATTTCACAACTAAGATCTGCGCTATTTCCCTCAAGACTGCATTGCTGACTTCAAATTGGTTTTCTGTTCAATGCTTGACTTCAACAGTTCTACTTCGTATAATTTTTTGCCCGAAAATTTCCTCGTTTTTTGCTTTGTCGTTGCATTGCAGAGATAGATGGTAATTTTGTGTCTGGATCTGTCCATAATTCGATAATCGTACCAAGTGTTACCCAAAAGAGGCATGGTCTCGGCCACAACTCCAGAGTGTAGTTCCTCGTTGAGCATCAACAACGGATAGAACAAAGTTACCGAAATGTTTACAAGGCGTGTACTGGACAAACCGATAAATTTTTGTGCTCTGAAGCCCACGTTTCAGATAAAAGTTAAGAATTTGAGTGGTTTTTGTGCCATTTTCCAATTTGAAGCTGGAAATCAACATTCGTTGTAGATTTTTCGAAACATCTTTTCGGCGTAGTCTTTCACGACGGCTTAGTCTTTCATTCCAATATCATTTTGGCAGACGTCAATGTCTTTTAAAAAAAGTTAGAGGAAAGTTGAAAATGTGGATTTCAACTCGTCGTGAACTATCAAAAAGCATTGGACATAGCCGAAAAGTGATCCATTTTAAAAAAATTTCAAGAAGGAATAGACTTTAGCAAAGAAAAATTGTCTTGACTGTAGAATCTGTTTCAAACTGCTGCCATCACTCCCATTCCTTCATTTCTTGAGTAGTGTAGACTTTTTCTTTTTTCTACTCCTATCTAATTCTCGTTTTGCTTATTCGCTCTTTCAATACTTTATCCGATGAATATTGGCGGCTCCTCTGATAGGAGCAGAAGTTATAGTAACAACCCATAGCTTCAAATACTGTTTTACAGTGATCGCGGTAGCCATCAACATAGAAACAGATAGTTTTCTCTGCTTTCCGTGTTTCTACTTTTAGTTTTGCTCTGGTCTTGATTCTTGACAGAAGAACATAACCATGTTCTCGAAATTTCTTGTTTTTTTTGTAGCCTTGAATCTTGGAAGTTCCGTTTGGCATCTCCTGAAACATTTAGGTCTTGCGATTATTTGACGATGGACTAATTTGAGTTTGATTGACAGATGCTTTCCGTGTAAAACCTTTGGTGATCCTTCAGTCATGTCTTTGTTTTTCCCTTAAATCCTTATCAACTTCAAAGAATGGTAGGGTAGAACTTGTGATTTGTCGATTTGTGTAAGCAGATTTTTGGTAGATTTGAAAATGTGCTTTCAAGTTCAAAAATATCGATTCCTTTATAATTTGTAAAAGTCATTTTTTGCATGGCTACAAGAGTAGTATGCCATTGTCATGTTACGCCATCGTTAGAGTTCTTCGAAAATAGTCATGCTTTGTTGTTACCAGATGGTTTTTAAATAAGAGTAGTTTTGGATTCCTGTTAATTGAATTCAACAAATTCGTAGATTTTTCAACGCATTTTATTGATGAAGTCTCAGTTAACCATTTTTTGGCAATCATTGAAGTCTTTTTCTACATCGTTTTACTAGAGACTTGATATGATGGCAATTCCGTGCAGTCAAGCTTGTTTGGGCTGTGAAATCATTCGGAGGGGGAAATGCTCTAGTTTCATTTGCTTTTTAGGCTTTAAAAAGTGAATCCAAGCTTGTTGCTCCCAGAAATTTTGTTCTAACGAGAAAAACTGTACAGCTCCAAATTTGAAAGAGTTGAATTTAGTTTTTTTTTAAATTTACAGTTGGTTCGATTTCTTTATCATAAATAAGAGGCGGATTCAAATATGATTTGATAAGATTGAGATCGTTTCTTCCGCCATTGAATCAAAAGATTTCAATGGCGGTATCTTTCGCCATTAATTTGAAAGATTTTATGGGCTTTGATTTAAATATATTGGCACATATCCAGCTTATAAAATCTTTCAACTTCCAAAAATTTGTTTTGCAATAGCTAACTCAACTCCAAGAAATGATAGAGAAGAGCTTTGGATGATGATTGCTCGATTAGACAAAATTTTGTACTTGGCTGATGCTTTCGGCAAAAAAAAATAATTTCACTGCTTTATAACAAAAAAGTATCGGCGAATGGTTCCGAAAAAAATACAAAAACCAATAATTTTTTGATTTGACGCAATTTTTTCAGCCTTTATTTCTAAATTCTGCCAGAGAAACTTGATTAGCATTGATGACTTGCATATTTCGAATTTTAATAGCACTTTTATGTAAATGTGGTATCTTTAATTTCAACTGTTATATGAGTTATATACAAATCGTTTTGTCATGTGTCTCGACGGTTTCATGCATAGCAGGCGGGCTTAAAACTTCAGTTGGAGTCAAACTGATATTGCTGCGTGGAATTTTTAAAATTTGTTATTCCAATGTTGTAATCTGACTTTCTAACTTTTCTTTTCTCACCTCTGTGTACAACATTTCAATCATAGGATTTGTTAATTGACACAAAAAATTTTATATTATATTTAGAGTATATGTTTCAGAAGATGTCAAAAAGAGGGCATATTAAAAGAAGCTGAGCGACAGCGATATTTTGAAAGACCTGCCAAGAGAAGGAAACGGCTTGCAATTGAGAAGTGTACTGCTTCATATAATCAAGGTCTCCACGAAAAATTGGATTTCATCAAGCGGGGCTATCGACCAGACCCTTGGCTACATTAAACAGTCGAGCATGATTAAATCTTAAGAATGTATTTTTCAGTTCAGAGTATACTTGCAATTTTCATTGAAGCAGTCCAATTTTCTACCTAACTAATTGATTGGAGGAAACCCTTGTGCTAAATGTTGACACTTTTCAGATCGATATGTTATGAAACGTAGAATCAACCTCGCTAGCCATGAAGCATCTTTGTATGCAAGTGAATTATCAGCTGAGAAAAATTTTGAAGAGTCCCGGTCTCTGAAAAAAGTTTTTCGATATGGTAACTACACTCAATATTATGGGTACAGAAATCCTTCCAAATGTGACGACAGCAGACTCAGATACATACCGTTTTGCTGGATGAAAAGCAAAACAATTTTAGACGTTGGCTGCAATACAGGACACTTTACTCTGTCACTTGCTCGAAAAATGCGACCAAATAAAGTTGACGCAATCGATATTGACAAAAACTTAATTGGAATTTCAAGGCGAAATATTTTACACTATGAATCAACAAATAGTTGCAAAAACGATGAGTCAAACATAAATAATAATATTGCTCCCATTAGTGAAAAAACAGGGAATTGCGAGGGGAAAACGATCGGTTGTGTTTGTGAAAATTTAGAGCAATATCACGGAGATGAGAGGAAAGTGTCGCAAATAGTGAATTTTGCTTGCTCAAATTTTGTTTTGACATCCTCAGCTTTAGTAGAAATGTGTAAACCGGAGTATGATGTTATTCTCATGTTATCTGTATCAAAATGGATCCACTTGAATTTCAGAGATGAAGGTTTAAAAAGGTGTTTTGACAGAGCTTATAAGCAGCTGAAGTCTACTGGAATACTTATCCTGGAACCTCAGCCTTTTGAATCGTATAAAAAGAAGAGAAAAATTGATCCTGATATAGCGAGAAATTTTCAAACAATTCAGTTTATGCCTGATCAATTTCATGCGTATTTGACTGGAATAGGTTTTAGCCATTGGAAAGTGTTAAACGATGAAACACAATCTTCGTCTAGTTTTGATAAACGACCGATTATTGCATACTTTAAAGGAGATGTGAATTCTTTCTTGTGTTCGACCTCAAAAATTATAAATGAGTCAACTGTTTCATAAATTTCATCAACTTTTATTTGTGAAGTTTTGTCTAACTGATGCTACTTTTCAACTTGCCAAATTCTTTTGTGTTCTTTGCGACTAAATTTAAGGTTTTGAAAGAATTGCTTTCAGTTTTTGTTCATTATGAATCTTTGGTTTGAATATTGAACAAAGTGATACTGAACCTGCCATTCATCTCTTTGTAATTTATCTGACTTATTCCTAGATCTGATAAGTCTTAAGTATAATATGACATGAAAAAAGACTAAACTCAGTATATGATGGATATAAACCAACAGTCTAAAAATTTTGTTGGGAGTTATTTGTCAGGCAGCACAAAGAGCAAGCTGACGTACAAAGCGAGCGAATTTTCTGTCTACTGATTATAAATTAATGAAAGTTACTTTCTTTCCTGATTTGAAAAATCCGGGGATACAAAACACTCAGGAAAGATAATTGCAATTTCAAAATTGTGTTTTCTCTCTTCGAGGCGAAGTTCAGTAGAACGTTTTAAGATTTGAGTTTTCTTTAACGCTCAGTTCCCATTGAACCACTAACCGCGGTATTCGCTCTTTTCAGATCTAATAATGATTAATGAAAGTTTTATACTTAGTTAGAATAGTTTAGCTAGTTAGATATTAACCTCCTGTGGAGTTGTTCTAACTTCTTAATGACTACTTCCTATGTGTGTTTTGCCCACTATTCGTGCCTCTTTTCACAATTAGCCAGCGATTAATTCTAGAACCAGTGAGTTGCACTTGTTAAACATAGTTGCCACAATATTCTCTTGAATTTGCAATTACAATACCGCTAATTTCAATCACAGTTAGATTTCTTCTTTACAATCAAGTAGAGCACTACTATACAACAACATGGCTTTATTCAACACCAATGTGGCCCGTGCCAAAATGGGAGGTGCCAGAGGGGCGTGGCGTTGTCGCCGTGTCCCGGTATATTGTCACGTGATCTTAGTTACCTCTTTGGTTTGGCTCTTCATCGACGCCATGGTGCTATTCTACGTCACCTCCAACTCCTCCTTGTCATCACCTGCGGCCGGAAGCAACCCGAGTGAAGCCGACTCAGCTGTGAGAAAAGGACAATCTAACGAGGGTGATCCACTAGTCAAAAAAGAAAGTGCGGGCAGAAAGAAAGAGGTGAAGCCACAGGGACCAGTGCCAGTGCCGAACCCAAAACACGCGAAAATCAGTGAGTAATCTATATATCTATTCATTCTTCAATTGGGATTTCACTTGACCCAGGTTTAACAAGTCACCATGTTGACTTGTTTAAATGCAAATATGTTGCAACATTTCAAATGTCTGAAGTCAGCATTATAAATTGTTTCATAAGAATGTTATTATCCTTGCGATAAGCAATGGTATTGCAACCGGTTACTAGATTTTTTTTCCCACAAATAACTTTGTTCACAGAATGGTCAAATGGTAAATTTCATAACAGCTAAACTAATAGCATGATTGGAGTGTATGTTCCTTGGGTGAACGTTAAGAGTTATGAATTAATTTTTATTTGTGCAAACAAAATTTCGCCTAACTCTAACGAGAAACTTTGAAAATCCAAATCGCCCTCTTAGGCTTTCCTTTACAAAATATACATGGAAAAAAAAATTTTCGGCTTTTTAGTTCATTTATAATTTTTGGGTGCAACCTCAATTAATATGGTAGCAACAATTTACAGCTGTAGACTTTTTCAGCACATGTAAACTTGTTCAATGCCTGACTTATTCGAAATTTGTTTTTTTTATGTTGGATAAAATTTTACCAATTATTTGTTGAAAATTATATGTTTTTTTTTGTTTTCATTTTTTCGACTTGATAGCTTTGGGCATAAATTATATCGGCTAGATGGCCTCATTTCGTGTCGTTTTACGTTTGTTTTTGTGCGTTTTGAAGGCTACGGGGACTTGATAATTTTTAATAAGACTTAATTTTTTTGAGTTTTTTTTTCATGTTCATTTTTTCGGCTGGATATGTTTTGGCCTGTATTATTTCTGCTTAGTCTTCTTATACTGTTTTATTTGACGAGCAAATGAAATTGTTTTTGTATGTGTGTGAAGGTGAGGGGACAATAATTTTCAAAAGTCTTCAGCCTCGTTGATTTTTTTCGGCTTAAAGGGTTTCTGCTAGGGTGTTTTTTAGGTTTTCTTACCCCTTGGTAAATTTTCTTTCGATCGCTGCTTTTTTCACATTCTTTTGTCTTTGCATGTTTTTGTTTCAAAACTAACTTTTTTTATTTTGATAGATTACGAACTTCGACCATGTCGATTTCTTTTCAATTTTTTCGACTTAGCGCTTTCTTGTTTTGTATCGCTAATGATGAGAAGATCAGCTTCGCCTATGTGTAAAATATGCTCTATCAGAACTCTATTTAGTTGAGAACGGCTTGAATTTAAGGCAATTTTTTCTGGTCCTCTACGTTTTTCTTCATTCATCTGTTGGAGCGCGATTGCTTCAATGTTTTTCGTTGGTTTACTTGGCAAAATTTGAAAGAAACACTGCTGTGGTAGAATGCTGTCAGGTTTCTCCCTGAGACTGAAAATCTATAGGTCAACTCCTTTCAGTCTTTTTGATTTGAATTTGTTGATATTTTCAAATGATTTCTTTTGTTCAGTTCATTTCCTATTTAAAAGGATGACAAATTTGACTCTCGATGTTAAGGTCGTGAAAAACGTGATTGACTTCTAGTTTCGAAAGCGGAATTTAAATTTCAGATTTCCCAGCGTATTTTTTTTGCTTTTTTTTCAGTCTCCTCAAATAGGGTTAAGTTTATCAAAAAGTGCCAATCAGAAATTGTTCTAGAAGTTCAATGAGCTTTAAGGGCATCTATTTGTTGCTTTGAAATTCCAAAGTTGAGATTTTATCAAAAAACTAGTCAGTGTTTTTTCTGTTTACTTGCTTTCATTGACTGTTTTTCAACTGACTGTTGGCTATGTTTGTTCATTTTAATTTTTTTATGGATAGAGTATGTTGTATGCTGCCGGCATTTAAAGGATTTTTTTTGTGAGTTAAAAATACAACGATCTTACGTAGTGATTCTGGAGAGATGGCCAATATGGTTTAAAAAATTTAACATGAGTTTATTGTTGGATAGTTCACTTTATGAAATGCACGCAGTCTATATTTTACGGATGCATTCAAATTTTTCTTTTTTATTTATTTTTTAAAAAACAATTTCCATCTTCAATAATTTTTTAGAAGCAGCATAGTTACATGACACTCGCTCTTTATCTAATTTTAACTCTTCTGTTGGTTTGTTCTGGTTTTTTCTTGTTTTACTTTATAGAGTTGCCTTTTTGTCGTTTTCTTGCTAGTGTTTGCGAAGCGCAGCTTCGCCTCTGTAAAAAATGTCTTCTGTCAGTCATTGTGAAGCTAATTTTTCCTGCCATAAGTATAAATAGACGCCAAAATTGCTTTTTAAACAATTTTAGTGTTGGTCGCTTTCTTTGCTCTCAAAATTGTTATATAATCGCCAAAGGCGTCATCATGCAATTTTGAGTCAGTCAGCCCGAAATGGGTGTTGTAAATTAGTATCACAGGATGGGATTTTGTAAAAAATTTGGCAAAGGAGGAGCGTAAAAATGAAATCATAATTTGAACTGCAGTCAGTTTCTTGTTGAGTTCCAATGAAGACACTTTTATAGGTCGCCTATGTTTGTGTTCATTTTTTAGGGAAAAACTCTTTAATTTGTTCCCGCTCCAATTTAATTTTTCACGGTTTGACATTGGATTTTTTTTATTTCACTTTCAAATCATTTGCTCAATGGAACGAACCTGACGCTATATAATAACGGGCAAAGGGCAAATGGCGCGAAAAACATGGTTGATTTTCAGTTAAAGGTGGATTTCAAACTTTTTTAATTTTCCAGTGTAATTAAAAAAATTTCGCCGTTGATTCTGTTTTCTCAAATTGGTTTAATTGTTTTAATTGGTTTTCTCAAATTGGTTTAATTGGTTTCAAAATAAGCAATCAGTTGACCGTCGTAAAATTCAAAAAGCTTAAAAGTGATCTGATTTTTTTTCGAAACTCTGTTGGCTACGTTTATGATTTGAGTGTTTTTGGTGAAAATACTTGACTCACAATTCTTATGCTAGATCCTAGGCTTCCCGACGCAACTGCTTCTTGTGACAATTATTCTGTTTCAGTTGGTGCAATAAATGATCTTAACGACAGAGATAAGAACCCGCCTGATTTACCGGGTGAACAGGGCAAAGCAGTAGAGTTGAACGAGGTAGACAAGGAGCTCTCCAAGAACACTTACAAGGAGAATCAATTCAACCTGTTAATCTGTGAACGAATCAGTCTCAATCGATCCCTTCCCGATCACAGACCTGAAAAGTGAGTTTAAAGAACTTTGCATTGCGATTATTTTAAAAATGTTGAAAATAATTAAACTGAACCGTCTTTGACAATCATTTGGCTCCATAGCTGTACTGATCATGAATTAAAGGTCCAAAAAATGATTGATTATGATAAATTCATCGCTCTGTCAAATTCTTATTGGTTCCATTTAGATGCAAAGCGATGCCATACAGACGTGATCTGCAGTCCACGAGTGTGGTGATTGTGTTCCACCAAGAGGCATGGTGCACTCTTATCCGATCAGTCTACTCAATCATCAACCGATCCCCCAAACATCTCATACAAGAAATCATTTTAGTAGACGATGCCAGCACTAAAGGTCAGTGTGGTAACAAGGATCATCAAATGAAAGTAGTCAAAACGAAGTACATATGTAGATTTTTTTGAATATTTTGTTACTATTTAGTCTTCAAATATTTAGTTTATGTAATTACAGACTTAGCTGAATTTTAACTATTTCGAGGCTTATTTCTATTTTTCTTATTGCTTTTTATAGAGCTGCTTTTTGTCGTATTTTCGCTACTGTTTACGAAGGGAACCTTCGCCTCTGTGAAGAATATTTGTGATAATTGAATGATTCATTTTAGAGCACTTGAAAGAGAACCTTACAAAGTTCGTGGACAAGCAACCCTTACTTAAATTAGTCCGACTTGAAACCCGCTCTGGTCTCATAAAAGCTAGACTGGCTGGGGCAGATGCGGCCTCAGGGGAAGTAATCGTGTTTTTGGATAGTCATATCGAGACATCGCATGGATGGCTGGAACCCCTTTTGCATGAGATACGAGAAGACAGAACACGAGTGGTGGTACCGACTATTGATAATATTAATCTGGACACGTTCCATTACGCGACTGTGGACGGAGCTCCTCAAATTGGGGGGTTTACCTGGTCTCTCACCTATTTCTGGTACCAGTTGACTCACTCTGAGAAAAAGAGAGTGGGAGACGATTACAGTCAGCCTGTTAGGTACTTGTTCTGAGAACATTTACATGAAATTTTTAAAATTTGTCTATTGACGTAACAGGAACTTGTTTAGAACTTGTGTATCACTCTCAATTTGGTTGTGTATAATTGTCTCAATTTAGCTCGTATGGGAGCAAAACGTTTGTTCGATCAGTTTCCCAAAACCAAATTTTGGGAAATAGCATAGGTTATTTCAGGTTAAACTTTTTCATCATTTGTAGGAGCCCAGCTATGGCAGGAGGCCTCTTCGCAATAGATCGCAATTACTTCTATGAAATCGGAAGCTACGACGCCGAGATGGAAATATGGGGAGGAGAAAACATTGAGATGTCTTTGAGGGTGAGTTGAGTTTCTTCTAGGTCAACTGTACAATATCCCCCACCCCCAAATCGATTTAGGGAGGAGAAAATTTTATTATAAGATTGTACGGTCGATCCATAATTACCTCACATTCTGCCTCTGCGTCTCTTTACTGAATCAATCGCCATTGGCTACAAAAAAAAATCAGGAAGTACATAGAAGAACATTTTTTTTGAAATTATTCACTTAATTTTTTTAGGGTCGGAACATTCTGTTCTACTCGCACAGTCACCTGCTATCCTTGTTCGAATTGAAAATTCATTTTTATATTTTGACAGTTATTGCTTTTTCAAATTCCGATTCTTTATTTGCATTGGTTAAACGAAAAATTGTTGGAATAGCATTCCTGGTCAAATAAGAAGTAGGACGATAAAGCTAAGTTGGCTATTCGCTATCCAAATGTAACTAAGCTGAGGTCTTCATCGAGTGCCTAATACAACGGCTTGAGTTCTATGCTATATTGCGCATCTTTGAGATATCGTAGTGCAAAGTTTTAAAAAATAATAATGTTTTCCCTCGAAATGTACTAGTATTTTCTCATTCTGAAATCCGAACTATAGCTCATACAATAAGTTATCTTTATATTTACACTTGCGAAGCGAGTGTATTAGTACGAACCTTCTTTTTTCAACCTAAGACGCAAATATTGGTGCCACGTTTGGGCACCTTTACATCTTTTTCATAGCATGTGCTTTGACATTCGAATAGTATAAGTTAACACAGTTAATGCATTTTTAATTCATCAAATGAACCGAAAAAAAATTTGTTTCAAACAACATAACAAAATGAAAGCTCGATTTCAGAAATTTTCTAAGTCAATATATCTCGCAATTTTTTTTGAAATGCATAATTTATACATAATGTGGCTTTATGCTTTTTGTGGCGATTTTTTTCATGCAAAGTTATGGTGGATGCCTTCAGTTTGTTATAATCCAAATTATTAATCGCAAAATTGAGTCTACTTGTATCTGGTGCCCCTTTTTCTGAATAGCATTGGCACTTTATCAGCATGTACAGTTGCTTTGTTTGTGGCTTGTGTTTGTCGGTTGTTCAGCGTGCGCGGCTGAGTGGAAAGTGCGTGAGACTCAAAATCTCTTGATTGCAGAAGGTCGCAGATCGAATCCTACTCGTAGCAGAGCTTTTGCTAACTCGAGGTTTATTTCTACTTTTTTTCTATTTCACTTGATAAAACTGCTTTTTGGTCGTCTTTTCGCAAGTGTTTGCGTAGCGCAGTTTCGCCTCTATGTTTAAATAATGAAAACTTGACCGACTAATTTTTCAGTGACTCAAAGGGTTTCTATCAATTGGGTATTGTTTTAATAAAAATGAGTATAGTTCACCCCCTGTCTTTTTATCACCTCATGGACGCTCAACAGATTCGAGATTTTTTGATGTAATCCCCGGAATTTTAGTACGACGGACTCTTCGTAAATTTTTGTTACTGATTAAAATATCGGAAGTAAAGCATCCATTAAGACGAGAAATAAATCTATTATAAATTTACTATCTCGCCATGTTTAGGTTTTTTCAACGTATTATTTTTGCATGTTTAACAAAACAATTGTTTCACGTTTAAGCTATATCGTATATTGCTATGGTTAAGGTTTTTTCGATTTTCCAGTTTTAATTCAGTGTTTGTTTCATCAAGTTTGAAATTAACAACCTAATAGTGTGATGTTGTCAGAGTTTTCCCAGGTTTTGCAATTCTGGCCTCCATATAGGAAAAACCAAATCCTTTTAGTTCACGAGATAGGCAATTTTCGAGATTTTACAAAATTTTCTAGAAAAATTAATTTAAAAAAGTTATTCAATTTTTGAAATTCTCACCCTGTAGTTAGTAGCTGTCAGGTTACTCATAGGGGTTGCAAATCTTGCCTCCAAATCTCATTTCTCAAATCCTTGTGATTTTCGAGATATGACGTTTTTTAAGATTTTTCGAAGATTTTGAAAAATTGCAAAAAAATGTTGATCTCATTCCTGTTGTTGGAAATTGTGAGGGTATTCTCAGGGGTTGCAAATATTGCCTCTGATTTTGGCTGTTCAAATCCTTGCAATTTTTGAGATATGACGTTTTTTTAGGATTTTTTTTTTTCAAAATTTTTCAGAAAACTTGGATATAAAAAATTTCACCGAATTTGAGTTTTGCATCTCTGTGGTGAGGCTCTGTCAAGGTACTCTGAGGAGTTGCAAGATTCGCCCCCAAATATGACTGCTCAAATTCTTGTAATTTTCTAGATACGACGTGTTTTTTTCATTTTCTCTGAAATTTAAGAGAAACTTAGATGTTAAAAAATTCCGGAACATTGAAGATCTCAATCCTGTTAGTGGAATCTGTGAGGTTACTCTCAGGGGGTTGCGATTCTTGCGACTGAATATGGCTGCTCAAATTCTTGTAGTTTTCGAGATATGACGTTTTTCTAGGATTTTCTCAAAATTTTTCAGAGAACGTAGATATAAAAATTTTCACAAAACTTGAAAAAAACTCTCAGGAGTTGCGAATTTGGCCTCCAAATTTGACTGCTCAAAACCTTGCAGTTTTCCAGATATGACGTGATTGGTGGATTTTAACTGCATTTTGGGAACCAAAAACTTCATAAAAATTTTTTTAAGACTTTTTAGTTTTGCCAGTCATATTTCTACAAAAAGTTTTGTCCAATTTGCCTATATTACTACGACTGTCTAATATGACTGAGTTATTTTTTCTACGTCAGATCCTTTTATCACACCAAGCAGAGAAAACTACACTAATTTGGAAAAAAACTTTCTAAACCGTAGTTTTCTAAAGACTATGGTCGGAACCTTGTGTGCTACTTGCACCGTAACCGGCTATCCTTGTTTTCTTTTTGTTTTCCACGCAAATTCAGGTACCACAAATCATCATCGAATGGGTTTATTATATTAAATTAAATATATTATATTAAAACTCTTTCAGTCGTGATTCGAATCTCATTAAAAAAATTGACAACATTTTTTTTCTAATGTTGAGAAAAACAGGTTTGAAATTTTAGATTTTTCGTCTAATTTCGAGTGAGTGAGCAGGCTTGCTTTAGCTCGTTTAGGCGTAATTTGAGCTTTCAAAAAAGTTTAGTTTTATTGAAGTGAAGTTTGTTTTTAGCTCCCTAATAGGTGTCAAAAATTATCAGATACAGAATTTGACACCTATTACAGAAATTTTTGTTTCACTATTTTTTTCGTTTCCTAGAAATTTTTCTGCAAAAACTGTTTTTTCAATTTGCCTGTTTTACTCTTATTTTTTTTCGTTTCCTAGAAATTTTTCTGCAAAAACTATTTTTTCAATTTGCCTGTCTTACTTAGGACTGTCAAATATGCCTAAGTTCTATTTTTTCGTTCAGATCCTGTTATCACACTAGGCAGAAAAAACGACACTAATTTGAAGAAAAAAAACGTTTTTCGTATTTTTTTAAGACTAGTCGGAACATTTTGTGCTACTTGCACAGTAACCGGCTATTCTTGTTTCATATTGTGAACATCGCAAACCTGGGTGACATCGTTAAATTTTCTTAGATCTGGCAGTGTGGCGGCTCTATTTGGATCCTTCCCTGTTCCAAAGTGGGACATGTGTTCAGAAAACAGTCACCCTACGGCTGGCCCGGAGGCGTGACCAACATTCTGGGCAAAAACAATCGACGTCTAGCCGAAGTGTGGCTGGACGAATATATCAACTTCTGGTTCTTCATTAGTCCAGGGTCTAGGAACGTAGCTTATGGAGATGTGAGCGATAGAAGAGAGCTGCGTAAGAATCTGAAGTGCAAGTCGTTCAACTGGTACATACAGAATGTGTGGCCTGAGTCTAGCTACAATCTTGCCGTATATTTCCTGGGACAGGTAAGAATTAGCTCCTCAACATCTAGCTATTTATAAGCGAAACCAATTGACGAAGCAGCCCTAAAATATTTATTTATGGTTTTATATAATGGCAAATAACATCAAAATAGGTTTAGATCTCAATTCAAGAACGTTCTATTCTCACAGACTGCTTAGGTTCTTAGTCCCAACATTTTCGAAAGATAAATGGTTTCTACAACTTTCAGCATTGAAGTTTGCGGTTTGTCGGTTGTAAATTGTTTCGAGAAATATCAAAAGAGGCATTGACGAGGATTCAAATATAGCCCCCCGTCAGCAATACACCCGTTATGATGGAAATTGATCAGTTTTCAACATGTTTGTTGTAGATTGAGAACCCAGAATCTAAATTGTGCATTGATACTATGGCTAGGAAGCAGGACGAGAAAGTGGGTGCGGTGACTTGCCATCATCAGGGAGGCAACCAGGCATTCGCCCTAACCAAAGACAACGAACTACGATCGGATGACCTGTGTGTAGACGCAAGCAAGAAAAATGAACCGGTTATTCTCTACAGGTATATATGCATAAGCTTCATCAAATATTGATGCAATTAGCAATTATGAGGTCTCTGTTAGAATTTCCCATTTTATGAACTTTAGTCATACTTGCGAGACCAAGTGTATAGCAACCGGGTGCTAAACTTTTTTTTTCACAGGAACAAATTTGTTCATAGGACTCATCCAGATGAACCCAGTCGCTCATAACCAGCTGAACAGATTTGCTCTCCAAAACATACATCATTTGATTATATATGTGCCATATCTTCTTTGCAATACCCCCCTCTATTCGATTTGATTTTTGTTGATCAGCGAAAGAATGTTCTTATGCCGAAGTGTGTTTTGAATAGGTGGGAGTTTTTTAGAGTCGATGATTGTAGTTCAGACTCTTAATAGGTTGTGATGATTTTTTGTTTGTTTTTTTTTCATGAAAAGATCAAAAAAAGAAAGACTAACTCCACTATCGAGCAGCAAAAGTTTAAAGGTCAAGAAAAACGTGATCGACTGTTAATTTCGAAAGTGGATTTTAATTTCCAGATTTCCCAACGAATAAAAAATTTACCTATTGATACAGTTTTCTCAAATGGGCTAAGTTAATCTAACAGTATCAATCATAGTTTGTTCTTGAGATTCAAAGAGTTTTAAGGGCATATTTTTTTAACCTTAATGTTGAGGCGTTCAAATAAAGTTGCGGATTTTCAAAAATTTTGTGGACCGTTTTTTAGGTCGACCAAATTGATTTTTCGAGTTCTCCCGAAGCACTAAAAAGTCCTTGTTTTGGTCAAAATTTTTGCGCTGCAGGCAATTTGAAAAAAAACAGGCCAAAAAAGGCGTTTTTAGGTAACTTTTTAAAAACTTTGACCAAAAAATTGCGTTTTTTGGCGCCCCCTCCCCCACCTCGAAATTATTATATATTGGCGCCGAAGGCGCCTTTAGGAAATTTTTAGGGTCCTCACCAAAAATGGATATTGGAAAATAGTACAAAGGGGGGACCCTTTGGGTCAGCAGGGGTTCGAATCCCTGAGGGGGGGCATCCGCCCCCCCCCCCTAAATCCGCCCCTGGTCACAAATAGAGTGAAGCTCTGTTTCGCCTCTGTTTACCAATTTTTGCCCCTAGAAATAATTTATCCAACTATTGAACATACAAATTTTAACTATTGAACATACAAATTTTGAACTTTAACTTTTTTTTACGTTGGCGTCTAATAAATAAAAAATTTTTACACCTGCGAAGCGAGTATTTGCACGAACCTTCTTTTTTTCCAACCTTAGTCGCAAATAGTGGTGCAATTTTTGGGGCAGCGTTTTTATAGCATGGGCTTTGACATAGGAATAGTAATAAGTTAACACAGTTGATGCCTTGTTAATTCATGGATGCCTTCAGTTTGTTATAATCCAAATTATTACTTGCAAAATTGAGTCTATTTGTATTCGGTGCATTTTTTTTTGCTGAATTGCATTGGCAATTTATTTGAATATATAGCACGATGGTTATGTGTTCAAATCCCCTTTCGGTCACGGTTGGAGGTGTCCCAGAGTCATCCGCCTCCTCAAGGTGGGACCGGCTGCGGCGAAATGGTTGATATATCTTAACCCCCCCCCCCCTCCCACGGTTGGTCCTGGACTGAGCAGGGCCGGGGGTTAATTAAAAAAAAATAGTGTTTGTCGGTTTTTAAGCTTGCGTGGCTGAGTGGAATGTGCGTGAGACTCAAAATCTTTTTCGACATTGCTTCCTTAATGAGTTGCCAAACCAAAAACGATCATAGGGATCAATTGACAAGTGCTTATTGAAAATGTGAAAGTGATTGAAAATCAATGGAGTCTCTTGAATAGTAGACTTCTGGAGAAACAAATAATTAAAGCTAAATTTTCAATTGTCGATGAACGCAGTGCAGACTCTTATGTAGGTACCGACGATTTTTTTCAAGATAACACCAAACTTGATCTTCTGTCGTTTGACAATTGATTTCTTAAATTCCATTCTATTTTATTCGCTAAAAGAAAGGCAAATTACGCTTTCCAATTGAAAAAGTGTAAATGGAGCGAATAAACGTGATTGACTTTTAGATTCGAAAATGAATGTTTATTTCAGATTTACCAGCGGAATGAAAAAAATACCAATTGATCCAGTTTTCTCTAATTCGGCTATTTCCATAAAAAAGTATTGATCATAATATGTTTTTAAAATTTAGAGAGTCAACATGATATATTTTTTTCTTCGAAGATCAAAAGTGCAAAAAATCAAATTTTTTTCCTGTTATCTTGAGTTTATTCACACTTTTCGATCTGTTTTTGGGCTATGTTTTATTTAGATGACATATCAATTTTGGATGGGAAAGGAGAGTCAAAAACCCAAAATCAATACGGTAGCGGAAGTAATTTAAAAAAAATTCGTTCACATATTAGAATGCTCACATATTTACATATTAGAAAATTTTCAAGCAAAGCGATATCTCCTCTGTTAGTTTTTAAACGCCCCTTTCACCCTGTAAGTAGCGTGTTATTTTTCTGAAAGTCTTTACATATTAGGAAAAAGTCTTTCAATATATTAGAGCATGAGAGCTATGAGAAAATCGCTAGATAAGAAATAATTGGACTCAAAACAAAAAACGTTGTGTTCAAAGCGAGCTCTCCTCTGCTGCTTTTCAAACAATTCTGATACCCTGTGGCCTGTAATTTGAATACTTTTTTGCATTTAATCTTTCAATTTTATTTCATGAAAATTGTTCAGTCGTTTAAACTTACTTAAATTATCTAGTTTTTGTCTTGAGGCTTTGTCTTAGATAATTTGTTTTTGCTGCCAAACTACTATGCTTTGAATTACTATAGAGAATTCTTTGATTTGTTTTTCTGCCTATTCTAGTAGGGTTTTTCAGGTTCATGAAACCATGTTGACGCCATTGTTTTCGTAATTCCTCTGTTTAGATAAACAAAATGAGAAGTTTCCTGCTCGACAGGTTTTTCTTAACTGACTCGGAGCTTATAACTCCGTTTCCGGCGGAGCTAGGCTTTGACTGATTATACTATGATACTATGTTTCATGCAGGGTTCATAGCACATACACTTTTTATCTCAAACTGGGATACCATTTCAAATCCTACTCAATGATCATAGAATTAAGAATTCATTTTGAATTGAACTTTTTAAGTAAGAGGAAAGGGAGTGGTGGTTTTTATATTTCTTTACATAGTTGAAAAACTTCAATATAGCTGGCAGGTATGTGCAAAAATATGGCAACTTCATGGAATTCAGTTTCTTGATTTAACCATTTTGTTTCAGGTGTCATAAACAGGGTGGCAACCAGTACTGGTTTTATGACGAGAAGGGATCACGACAGCTGCGACACAAAGTTACTAACCAGTGCCTTACGGTGCCGCAGCCGGCAAGCCAAGAGCTCCACTTGCAGGAATGCGATTCAAACAACCCGTTCCAAGTGTGGGCAATGGAGAACGCAAAGGAGCTGACTGAGTTACTACAGAAGTACAAAACGTAGAAAGCTGAAAAATAATTAAAATAATTTAAAAATAGATTGATAAAATTTTATTGATGAATTACTGTCATCGTTATTGAAGACTTCGAATCAAAGATATGGTTTTCTTATAAGCCTATTTCTTGTGACACAAGGTTTTGTGGTGCTTTTATAAGCAATGAAAGAGAGATGCAGTTGATGCGTTTTTCTGGAATATAAATGGTCGTTAGTCTGTTTGTGTTAGAGAAATATTCAGTATATTTTATCTTCAATAAGCAATCTATAAATGAGCAATTCACTCTTTAAATGAGAACTAGGCGCTTTGTTATATAAGTAATACTCGGTATGTTCCAAGCAGGATCGATATTGTCATTTGAAATGATTACTGAGATGTTCAGCCCATAGAAGCTTATTGCGAAACAGGTGCTGATACTTATAACTCTGGGCGGTCGAATTCTCAATAATATTGAACATTGACCGGGCGTCTTTTAGGAAAATTAGTAAATAATCATAAATGAACAAATGATTATCACAAATTTGACTAATACTTATCGTAATGATATTTTTATATATATAAACGTGGCGTGCACTGGAATTTGTTGAGCGTGGTTCTCGAAAAAATTTTATCCATCGATTGGTCGGACTTGAGTTTTTCGAAAGTCTGCTTAAACCCCAAACTGACCAAATATAATTGGCAAATTTTTCTGAACTGCTGGGGTTTTCTAAAAATGTTTTCGACAGCCTTTTCTGGGAACATTCAGTGCTCGTAGCATAATAGAATGTTCCCACCATGGTCTAAGAAAAACAAAAATGTTTTTTTTTTTCAAATTAGTGTCGTTTTTTTGCGTGGTTTGATAAAAAATCTGAACGGAAAATAACTTGAACAAATTCGATATTTATGGTACAATAGGCCAATAGGAAAATAGTTTTTAAAGAAAAGTTATTGGAAAAACGTTCCGCCAGAACTAGCTGTCGTAAAATTGTAAAGAAAACTTGGCGTACAGAATAGAGCGCTTATGGGTATTTCCTTAAGTTGTTGTTCCAACAACAACTGAAGGAGAAACCCATAAGCGCTCTATTCTGTACCATTTGAAAAACGTGGAGGAACTTTGTATTCGGGTGTTTTTGTTTTTTTCTTGTTTCCACGCAAAATTAGGTACCGCAAGTTATCATCGGAACGGGTCGACTTATATCTTATATTAAAGCACTTTCAGTCGTGATTCGAACCACTTTTTAAAATTTTGAAAAAATTTTCTCTACCGAGAAAAACCAATTTGAAGTTTTTGATTTTTGGCCTTATTTCAAGCTAATAAGGTGAGCGGGCAGCCGTACAATAGCTTATTTATGCTTAATTTAAGTCTTGAAAGGATAGTTTTTCTTGTGTAAAGTTACTTTTTGTAGTTTCTTAGCGCCAATTTGGGAATCACAAACTTCAAAATTGAAACAATATCTGTAAAAATATGTTTTTTTAAGCATTTTTTTTTTGTTTTTCTAGTCATTTACAAAATATGTTTTACAATTCCCCCATTTTACTATGATCGTCAAATATGCCTAAGTTCTTTTTTTCAGTTCAGACTTTTTATCACACCACACAGAAAAAACGACACCCATCTTGAAAAAAAAGTATTTTTCAAGACTAGGGTCGGAACATTCTCTGCTACTTGCACAGTAACCAGCTATCCTTGTTTTCCATTTTGTTTTCGTTTAAGAGTCTATGAATTTAGTTCAGACTTTCATATAGGTCGTGATGTTTTTCTTGTTTTTTTTGTCTTAAAATTTAATCACGCTCAAATTTGCTTTTTCGCGGCTTGACTATTGGGTTCTTCAGTTCGTTGCAGAAGGAAGGTAAACTCCACTATCAAATAGTAAAATAGAAATGGTCACTAAAAAACTAATTTCAAACATAGATTTTAATTATCACATTTCCCAGCGAAATGAAAAATTTTACCTATTCATCCAGTTTTCTCAAATTGGGTCAGTAAAAAGTCAGTCATTAGCTGTTCTAGAATTTCAAAGAGCTCTATTTTTTTCTTCGAAAACCAACTTTTTTTTTATTGTTCTTTGGTTATGTGTTGATTTTGCTGCTTTTCACTGCATTAGTGCAATTAAAGCAAGAGATTTCAAAACTTAATAATTGAAGCGCGTGCTTTGCTGCCTGATATCTACGAATAAACTATTCATGCAAGTTGATCAATGCAATAAACTCAGGCTAAGTGGTTGGGACAAGTGGCCCTTGATCGACGGATGCGATGTGTCCACGGTTGTTCATCTGATTATTTAAGGCATGTGTTCGTGCCAATAACGAAGACGCTTATTTAGATCGTGTCTTCAAAGTTGTTAACGCTCGAACTTTTTTCCTGCTTTGCTACAAGGAAGGCGAATTACGCTCACCAATAAGCTAAATGCAAATGAAGCAGAAAAATGTAAAAGACTTTGTTTCGAAAGTAGCGGTTAATTAAATGTCTGTCATAGTATTACTGAAAATGTATTTTCCTTCAAATCTCCACAAATACATGAGAAATTGTTTGCTTGCAAGTTATCGTTTGATCAGAACCGCTTCGTGAAGACTTAATAAGCCGTTAGGGTATCGTAATGTCTGGTCCTTATAACTTTTTTCTAAATTTTTTCGTACCGTTCTTATTTCTTCTGGGTATTGTATCGAACTATTTTTTTCCTTTTTCATTAACTAATTTAAGTTCGTTTTTTTCTTCAGAGCTGTTGGGTTCAGAAGAGAAGTGTTTGAATCTAGAATAGTAGATACGAATATTGAAAGTTTTTGTAAAGGAACAAAATAAAGGACACAATCTAGGTCGCTCAGCACTACACGGTTATGACCATTCTTTATGGTTTTAGAAAACATACAAAAGAACGAATCTAGTCAGATTTTTCCATTCAGTTGGTGTCCAAGGTAAGATTTTTTGTTGTAGAATTTTTGTAGCTTGAAATGGTATAGACTAACACCGTGCTAAATAGAAACACGTTAAAGCATGCAAGTTCGAGCTGCATGAGTAGTTAATATAGCACCTTGTCATAGTTTTCATTGAAGAAGAGTCGATACGGTCATGAAGTTTTTTCGTGAAGAAAATTAATGAAGCATACAAACTAAGTCGTTCTATACGACACCGGTGTAGCCACTCGACATGCTTATAGAAGAAAGAAAAAACAAAAAAGTGATGAAATCAGTCAGAACTTTCCTTCAGTTGGTTTCTAAGTGAGTTTTTTTTGAGATCGTCAATTTGCGTTTGCATTTCTATATTTGCAATGTGTATCACCAATATGGCAAAGTTGAGTTTTTTTTGCGTTTGAGGTTGGCGACTTATTATGAAATCATTAGGCGGCGCAGATTTTGCCAAATCTACCGTCAGCGCTTTACTTGGTCAGTCATTTTATTTAATCTGCAATTGTGACATTCTTTTTAAATCGGGAATGAAAATGTTCCATGGAAGTGAGGCTGAGAAATGGGTACCCGTGAAATAAATAAGATGTTGACGGTTTTATTGTAGTTGATATTGAAGCAGTTGATGTGATCATAATAGTAGTGATAGTGTGGGTCATTGTAATAGCTGACGCCCTTGATAGGCCGTGGTCCAGTTAATCGATTGGTTGCAGCCAGGAGAGCATGTCTTGAATTTCTCGTAAGTCGCGTTCATTTCTTGTGTCGAACCTTATAATTAATTGGTCGTAGAACAGTTAAATGTGTTAAGACTGGTACTGTTGGTTGTATTTGATGTCGGGTATCAAAAGCCTTTAAGTGTTCGAGGATAGCTTTGATCCTGGTTTTGCGGTTAATTATTACGGAGGAGTTTGAACAAGATAATCACAGTCTTTATCGGGATTATTTACCTCAATTTCATTTTGAGTCAAAGTTTGTCTTTTTTGAAATGAAAACTATATAATAATAATAGAATGTTTCCAGTATAGGTTCACATTGATCAATTTAATTTATATAATTGACGATTTGAAACAACCCAATCTGGGAGATCGTCATTAGACAAATTCTCAATGTTTTCAGATGCCTCTGAGTGCAAAAAAGAACAGGCTTTAATTGAGATGGTGGTGTAAAACCAACTTTTTTTTTGTTACAACACTATAGAATGAAAACTTTTTTTGACTATTGAAATGAAATAAATTATTTAGTTAGAAATTTCAGAAATTAAATGTGAAAATTTTGGCGAGATGTAAACATTGGAGAAAACCGAGACTATGAGTAAAATTTGAATATTTAATTTATGAAATCCTATTATTGTGGTCTCTGGAAACTTATGGAGAAAGTTGTTAATTTCATTTCGTGTCATTGCTAATATTTTCAAAAAAAGTCGGAAAATGGTCTGTGAGATAGTTGTATGGTTTTCGAGTTCTGGTAACATTTGAAAACGTATGGTTTGAACACTAGTTTCTTTAGTCATTAATGATTATGATGTAATTTGAACACTAGTTTCAAATGGAGTTGAACACTAGTTTCTTTAGTCATTAATGATTATGATGTAATTTGAATAGTTCGTCGGATGTGATTATTTTGCTGAGCGTCACAGATGCACATTCACCGCGAATAATTTAACAGAGAAGTTTTAAGAGTTTGTATTTGAAGCTCTTTCACATTATTTATTTTCGTTTTTTCCCGCAAGAAATATACTGATTCGAACATTTTCTTGAAATTTAACTTGAAAGTTAACACTCCCGTTAATCTGGAAGTCGACCCATATATTAACACGCCACATTGAACAACAGGTTTAACGTTTGTTTAGTAAAACTGGTTCATTTGCTGTTTATATAAAATCTTACGCAGTTGATAAATGTGTTTCCACAGAATTTTTCAAGCCGTGTATTAACAATATCAATGTAAGTTATGAATTCCAGTTTTTTTCATCGAGATACGAACCCAGATATTTGAAAGCGTAGTTTTGCTCTGTCTTCGTTGTTCATTTAAATTGAGTGAACCTAACTGTTTTAGTTTCATCTAAGTTCAAAGTTCATTTGCTTTAATGTCTGTATCATCGACATAGAGATAGGCATTTGTGCTTGCATTGACTTTTGCTATATCATTCATAAACAGAATGAAAAATAGAGGTCCTAGAATTGAGCCCTATGGGACTCCGAATTTATTTTTACTTTGCGATTTGAGTCTGTTGATGCTTACAAACTGTTTACGTTCTGATAAATATGAAACTAGAATATCGTATGCTGGTCCTTCTGTACCGTAGTCATTACATTTGTTTGAAAGAAGCTTGTGATCAACACTATCAAACGCTTTTCTTAAATCAAGGAATGGACACTGAGTTTCAATAGTTTGGTTGTTCCAATCTTGTCGAATTTCTTCTACTATAGCGTCAACAGTACTTCTGTTTTGTCTGAATCCAAAATGAGATTGATGTAATATGTTTTGTTGATTAACAAATTCTAAAATTCGATTTTATATTAAGCGTTCTAGTCTTTTGCCAAAAACAAGTAAAAGTGGTATTGGTCTGATATTGGAAGGTACGTGTTCG